GGGCTGGAGGTTGGTGCTGGTCCCTGTGACCTGATCGGCTCAGGAGGGGTGCGAGTCCTCCTGGGGTGGTGTCAGACCTAGGGATGGAAGAGGAGCCTTCCTGTGCTTCCTTAGGGAACGTGGGTTTCCAAGGGATCTCAGGGTTTGGAAGAGAAAAACAAGCAGCGTCCCACCAGGATGCTCCTATCCAAGCTGGGCTCCCTCCAGGCCCTTGCTAAGGAATCCAGGCTGTGCAGGGAGGGGAGGGACGGAGGGAAGGAGGCTGGGAATGGGAGCTTGCCTGGAGGGGTGGATTCCAGCCCAGACAGCGGCTGCCAGCATGGGGGGGTGAGCTGGGAGGGCTGCAGTGTGGCCACCACGGGTGCACAGAGCCTGTGGGGCTGGGGAGGAGGCAGGGGCAGTGATTTCGGTCCCTTTGGGTGCTGGGGCAGCGGGGCTGGAGGATGCAGCACAGCAGTGACAGGGCTGGGGGGTGTGTGGGCATGTCCCACACCTCGGGGTGAGGTTGGGGTGGCTGCTTTGGAGCCATGTCCCTGAGCACCCCAGAGCCAGGGGAGCCCCTTCTATCCCAGCACCATCCTGCCTCCAGTCGTGGTGCTGCTGGTGGCTAAATCCCATGCCCCAAAGGTGTCTGCTCCCCGCTGTTACCAGAACCCACCATAACTGCTTCAGGCACCCGGCCTTAAGAGCAGGTGAGTCCTTGGGCTGCTTCAGCAGAGCTGCCATAGGGAAAAGCTGGAGCTGGAAAAAGCCAAACCCACCCATAGGGAGGAATCCTGGGGGAAAGGCTCTGCCATGGCCTGTGTGCTGCCCCGGCAGGCTGGGGCCAGAGCCCAGGCAAAGCGAGCCCACAACAGGGATGCTGGGGACAGTGAGGAGGGAATCTCCCATGCAGTGAGCCCCAGCATCACCGCACTGGTACCCACTGCCCCGAACTGCACCACACCAGGCTGACACAGCCCAGCCCTCCAGGAGCACAGAGCCCTGCAAGGACCCAGGGCTCCCCCAGCCCACGGGAACACCTCCGTGGCATGAAGAAAGGCGCTGGGAAACACTGAAATCCTCTTGGAGTGAGGAGACGGGCAGGGGCAGCGTGTGAAGAGGTAGAAGTTTATTGGAATATAAACATTCAGATAACCTGTAAGATAGAAAAAACCCAACAACAACATATACAGACACGTGTTGGAAGGAGACGTTGAGGTATTTATCCACCGCCTAGGCTATCACACCTTTATTTAGTTATCTTCTTTTTAAATAGCTAACAAAACTAGTAGCAAGGCTGCTGCAGCTGCTTGGAGAACCGGTGTTCCGATGTGAATCCCTCTGGAGCACGCACACAGGCATGGGGCGTTCACATTCACTTTGGGAGCAGAGCAGCCTCCCCCTCGCCTCTTCCCCCCTTTCCCAGCTCAACCGGACACTGGGAGCTGCCAGAGGAGGAGAAGCAGGTTTGGGTCTGTGGTCTGTGTTGGACATCGAACCCAGCTGGTGGCTCTCCCCCCGCCCCAGCTGCAGCAGCAGCATCGGAGGCTGCGTGGGGCCTCTCTAGTTTTGGTGTGTGAGTTTTGGCTGCTCGCTGCAAAACCTTGGCTGGTCTGGAGCTGGAGAGAGCCTTCAGCAAAGCAGAGCGCTTCACCCGAGGAGCAGGCCTACCCGCAGCATCGAAACCCTGAGAACTCGACAATCGAACAGGGGCGAGGGAAACGAAGGGCAGCCGGAGCGAGCAGGGATCCCCCGTCCTCACTCAGCATCCCCTGGCTCCTCTGCCCCATCCCTGCTGCTGGGTTCCGTAACCCTGGCCCCAAAGCCCGGCACCTCAGTAGATCTGGAGCTCAGCAAAAACAAGGGGTGAGCCAGTGTTAAAGCCGGGCTTAGGGGAAGGGTTACTCTTCACAGTCTGAGGGGTCCATCCTGCGCGCCGCGCGCTGAGGAAGGACCAGTTTATTGTCGCAGCTTATTTGTTACTGAGGTATCTGTTACGCATCCCGACTTGCTTTTTCCCTGAATCGGATACAAAACAATCTGTTAGTCCCTGTCTAGTTCCAGTCTAGTTGTGTAAAGCTTATAAACATTAATACTCTAGTAGTGTCAGAGCTGTTGGAGCAGGTCAGTGATTCGAGTGCCTTTCTGTGCAAGAACACACAATGTTAGCATGTGATACATAAGCAAAACCACCCATTACTAAACCTCTGCTCCCCAGGACCAGAGAAGAAAGCATAAGGAAAAGCAAAAAAGTGCCCCAGTCCCACTCAGAGGAAACCCCACCCCCAAAGAAAAACCAAAACCAGATAAAAAAGGGAAAAAAACCCAACAATCTGAAGGAGTCCCAGAGGCTGGAAAATCCTCTCCGAGGAGGAAACGCGGTGGGGGCCTCGCGGGATCTGCCAAGCAACCGCCCCACAGCCAGTGAGCAGCTCGGCTTCCCCATGCCCAGCTGAGCACTGGGATACCTGGCAGCAGCATCTCTCTCAGGACACACGCATCCTCCTCAAGCCCCCAGGATGGCAGCAGCAGGGTCAATCAACCCCTGGCATCTCAGCTCACCATTAGAGAGTGTGAGAGCCTCTTGCGACTCGGAGGTGCTGCCCGAGGCTTACACAAGTAATCAAGGCCGTACAGCCAAGGAGTGCTGGGGGATTACAAAGGAGAAGCTGACATGTGAGACTTTAAAGGATCATTCATTCATTTCTACGCGCATGTTTAAGCCCAATCCTCCTGCTCCTGGCTCCGTGCTTTTTAAAGCCACGGCTTTTCAGTAGTCTAAAGCAAAGAGCTCCTAGGAGCAGGACATCCTGGGGGCACAGGGCTTCTTCCCAAAGGCTGCCCAGTGTGGCTTAAGTCCTGTATTGCAGACACAAGCAGCTCTGTGTGGGATAAAGTGGTGGCTGGGTGCAGCAGCACAAGACTGAGCCGTGCTGCCAGGGGCCAGAACCCGTATCTGTGTCTCATAACGTCACCTAAAGCAGAGCTGGCACCTCCAAGCTGCCCTGAGCACCTCTGCCAAAGGCAAGCACAGATGCAGGAGCTTGGAAAAGCCACCAGGAGCTTGGAGACACCCTCGTGTCCAACAGGAAGGACAGCTCTTTTAAGGGGTCGCTCCTGCCTGCTTCTCCTACCTCTACCTGTCCTGCTGGGCCATGCACGTGTCCTGGGGCGATGCTGCTCAGGGTGTCCCTCGCTGGCTGAAGGCTGGGGAAGCCACTGCTCCTTTGCTCAGCCTTTTCCTTTGCCTTTTGCCAAACCTTGTCTTTGGTGATCGAGTTAAAAAGGAACAATAAAACACAACGTCAGCACAACCACGTATAAAACCAAGCGATAAGATATGCCGAGGCTTCCTGAAGAGGTTCAAAACCAACCGACCCCAAACAAACAAAAACCCCCAACAACAAGTACATATCTGAGGTATTTCATCTGCTCAACAAAACCTGACTCGGGTCTGGAGGATGGGAAGGACGTCACCGGGGCAGGATGGTGCTTGCACCCCATCTCCAGGCTGGGGAAGGCCAAAGAAGAAGAGGGACAGGAGGAGACCACCTGAGCTCATGGAGTCACTACGGAGAGCCAGGGCCAGCCTTTGCTTGCTGGCAGCTGGAGGTCTGAGGGGAACAAGGGCAAGGAAGGGCTTGATCTCCTTTTGTCTGCTTCCACCCAGCAGAGCAAAAGGTCTCAGCTCCACTGAGAGCTGCTTGCTTTTTGCTCACGTGCAATTAGAAGGGGACTGGGCTTGTTCAGAGACCAGCAAGAAGATGTGTGTGACGTTAACCGTGATGCCTGCACGCACCCCGCAGACCTGCTGGATTACATCTACGCATCACCCTCTGCTGTCTTGGTGTCCAGATGTGGAGAGCTTCTTCCAGGGGCTACTGAAAGACTCATGAGAAGGAAGTCACCCTGAGAAGCCTCCATCAAGCTAAGGTTGTGTCAAGGGGGCAGGGGATCAAAGCACCAAGCCACCGGCAGTCCAGGGTGACTGTCAGTGGGATGAGTTCCTCAATGGGAGAGACAGACAAGGTGAAGGGCATTTGAAACTCGGCTGAAAGCATGAAGGCAACAGGAGTGATGTGGCCAACACCAGCCAGGAGGGTGAAGTAGCTGATGTGATGGTTTTTAATGTGTCTATGGGTCAAATGTAGCAGTGAGAAGGTGCCTCTCTTCTTGCCAAGGCCTCAAAGAAGAAGTTGGCTCCTAAGCCAAGAGCACGTGTTCAACATACGAACACCAGAGAACAGCAGAGCCTGAAGAGGAAAAGTGAGGAGGCTTTTGGCCTTCTGCAGCACAAGCCACATGAGGATGGGGTCTCAGGATTGTCAATACATGGGGATGTTTTGTGGGAAGAGCCCAGTGCCTGCTGGTTCAAGGAGAACCAAGTTTCCCTGCCCCATCTCCAGCTCTTTCCACCTGCCTTGGTGACGTCTTGGCCATCTCTCACCCATCCCGCAGCTCCTAGAGATGATCCCTGATTGGAAAACGCCAGGCATGCCCCCCCCTCCATGTCCCACCCCAACAGGAACACAGCAAAGCGTGGGAGGAGGAGGAGGAAGAAAACAAACAGCAAAAGGGAGGAAAGAAAGGGGAGAACAAAGAATAAAGGCTGGGCAAACAGACGATGAGGAAAAACTTGCTGGCATGGAAAGGTTTCAGCAGCAGCATCATCATCATCATCATCATCTTGCCGTTGGCCAAGCCCAAAACCAGGTTCCTTGAGATGAGGTAAATCTGTGCGACTCCTTCCTGGCTCGCTCCCTGCGGAGGGGCAGGGAGGAAGCTGGAGGCCAGTGTGAGACAGGAGGGCCGGGCCTTCCATCAGAGAGACCAGCTGGTGGAGGGCTCTGCGCCGGGGGTTCCCCGCGATGAGGTAGGGCTGGGAGAGCAGTGGGAGCTGCTGCTGCTGCTGCACGAGCTTTGGGTGCTGGAGCCTGCAATGAGGTGGACGACGGGCTTCTGGGCAAAGAGCACTCCTGCAAGGCAGGGGAAGGGAAGGGTGAGTGGGACTGGGGGGTGGAACGGCTCAGGGGACAGCGCAGAGGGCATCCATCCAACCCCAAACAGCCCAACAGAGAGGCTCAGTGAGAAACCACGCAGGCCTCTGGCATCAGGGGTCACCAGGATACAGGGAGGGATCCCCTGAGACTTGCTCCAGCAGGCTCGTGCTTACAGAGGGCAAAGATCTCAAATGTCTTCAACACCTTTAGAGGAGAAGCAGCTTTGGTCGTGCTGCAGCACCAGGCCTCCTACCTTGGCTCTGTCACCTTTGTGACCTGCAGACGTGAATGGCTTGAGCAGAGCATGAGGGGAACAATTCCCACTTCCCAGAGATGCGTTAAGGTAAACCTGAGTAAAGCCACTCCTCAGGAGAAGAGGGATAATGCTCCTTCCTATGAACACGTCTACAGACGTCCCTTCCTTCAGATGTTTAACACAACCACCACCCGAAGGAAAGGGCATTCATCCCTAGGACCAAAGGCAAGAGGAACCACCTCCAGCTGAGCTCCCCAAGCTGGGCAAGCTGTGCCTGGCGAAGGCCAGCCCCGGGATCATGCCACCCTCTCCCTGTGCCACCAGCCTGGCTCTGACCAGGTTCTTTCTCACCAGCGTAAGTCGTGCCGTTGATCTCCACGGACATGTTGATGCTCCCAATGCCATTAGGTGACACGTTCAGCGCCGCTGCTGCCGCCGAGTCTGCTTTGCCTTCTTTCAAGAAGGAAGAGGTGAGGGTTAGAGAGAGGCTGCCCTGGTCCCTGCACCCCCAGGGATGATCAAAGGCGGACACAACCCTCCCGGGGTCTCCTCTCCCCACGCAATGTATGCCAAGTCTACAAGGGTGGGTAAGTGTTTCAGTATGAACTAAACCCACCGGCATTCACAAACCTCTCCCTGACTCAGTCTGGAAGCCAAATTAACATCCCCCTCCAAAGCAGCAGCACAGGAGACAAGGCTGGAGGCCATTAGCTGCATGGTGGCTGTGGGGAGCCCCAGCGCAGGGCTCAGGCTGCAGCAGCCCCAGTGGCCACTGGAGGGAGGGGACTATCCACAGGGCTAAGGACTGGAAGCCGGGAACACTGCTTCCCTGCCCTTACAGTGGCAATGTGGGTTTTCTGTATCCCTGGAGAGTCCTTTCTAAGCTGTGACAGGCTCCGAAGCACCTCTCCAAGCTCCGTGCTGTTTCTATGTTGTCATTGGGAAGGTCAGACTTGCCCACAGGCAGCTAAGAAAGGTGGGAAGAGGCTCATTGAATCCTGAGGGCTCAGCCTGTGGAGACTAAAATCATTCCCAGCATTTTGATGTAGGAAGTTCAGGGGGGAGAGAACAAAAACGGAGCGAGATGAGAGGGACTGAACATCACTTGATCAAATTTGAATTCCCTTGCTCTCACCGGTTTCATCCTTTGTTTGGACGTGAATGTGAAACTGAGGTGACCTTCAAACTGATGTGAACTCCCAATCCCACTGAACTCCACAGCAGAGTTCCGAGAGGAACCTGCCCTCACCCTCTGCTGTACATACTTCTGGCAAAGGGTCTCTAGACAGCATTTCCCAGCATTGCTAGCAAAGGCCTCGAGAAGAACCCTTCCCTTTCTTTAAGCCATGCCAAACTTGCCTGGCCTTGTGCCTACACCCAAATGTACAATTAATAGTGGGGCTGAGACCTTTAATTTCAATGGATCAAAAGGTTTGGAGGAAGCAGCTGCTGGGCCTGACAGTTGTGGAGGCTTTGCCTGTGCACTGAAGTGCAGCCCCGGGGACAGGTAAAGGAGCCAGGGCACTTAATCAGCTTTTGAAGCCCCCATCTAAGAGTATTGATCCTGACAACGTGACCTTTCCAGGGCGACTCCCCTTCTCCAAAGCATTTCAGGAGCGCATTTCCCAGGCCATGAATGCTGCTCGGAGGTGACCTTCTAACCCAGCCTTGCCAGGAGTTCTCTGCCTGGAGGCTGTGGAGGGCTGCAGCAGATGTTGGTAGCAATCACCTGACTTGCTAAAAGCCATTGGGCCCCCTGCAGATACACAGGTCTTTGTGGCCTCCTCCTCACACCTGACAAAGGATTCCTAAAAGCTGGATAGCCTGCTAGCCACACGGAGGGAGCTGGTACCTGCATGATTGATTCAAAGGGTTCCTGAGCAGGAAAGGAGAGAAAACCATCCTCTGCAGCACAGTGCTGGTTTGAGACTAAGAGCAGGGCAGGGGAGAGCTGAGCATCTGGCACATGATGGGCTTCCCCTCCAAAATGTCTCTACCCACTGCAGAATCAGGGCTGCCTTTGGCTAGATTAAGCCATGCTCTTGGACTTGACATATATACCAGGTATTAAACATGAGGGGGTCAGAAGTGTGGCCCAAAGCAATTTCAGCTGATCCACGTGCTTCCCATTGCTTCCCATGAAGGAAGGAGCATCCTCACAGCATAAAACAGCACTGCAAGGCCAACTGAGCTAGCATCAGCTGAAACCACTCATAGAATCATAGAAATCAGCTAGGTTGGGAAAGACCTTTAAGATCATCAGATCCAACCATTACCCCAGCGCTGCCCAGACCACCACTAACCCATGGCACACACCCAAGGTCTGTGGAGGCGTAACAGCTTGAGTCCTGCAGCAATCTCACTATGCCAAGCACAGGAGGTCAGAAGCTCAAGTGGGTTTTATCACCTTAGATGCAGAGCTTTCTGAAGCTAGGATGCTTCTGCATCCCGGCTGGATTCAGATGATGCTGGATTACGCATCAGTAAGTAAAACCTAAAGCTTTGCAGTTATGCTCCATTTAACAGCTCCCTGACAGCGACCCCTGCCTGGCACCCAGAGAGATAACCAAACCTGTGTGCGAAGAGGAGCAGTTCCCTCCTTGCTGCAGCCTGCAAAGGCTTTTTGTGCATGCGGAGGTGCTGCTTACCCTTGCCATTGATTTTGATCTTCATGGGGATCTGCCGCGCCATGCTGAAGAGGTTGCGCTGAAGAGCCTGCTGCACAAGCCGCTGCTCCTCCTCGCTCATCCGGGACACCTTCTTCTCCGGAGGCTCTCCCGACTCCAGCCTCTCCCTCAGCTGCTCCAGGGTGGCTGTTCTTGCTGCCACAGTTGCCTGCTGGCTAGCCAAGGTCACTGGCACAGCAATACGATTTGGCATAGACACAGTCAAGGGCACACTGTCACCTAGGAAAGGGAATCGTAGAACGGTTTGGGTTGGAAAGGACCTTAAGCTCATCCAGTTCCAACCCCCTGCCATGGGCAGGGACATCTCACAATAGACCACGGCTCCCATGGGCCTGTCCAGCCTGGCCTTGAACACTGCCAGGGATGGAGCATTCACCACTTCTCTCGCAACCTGTGCCACTGCTTCACCACCCTCACAGTAACAAACTTCTTCCTTATACCTAACCTGAACCTCCCCAGCTGAAGTTCAGACCCATCATCCCTTGTCCTGTCACTGCAGTCCCTGATGAAGAGTCCTTCTCCAGCATCCTTGTAGCCCCCTTCAGACACTGGAAGCTGCTCTGAGGTCTCCACGCAGCTTCCCTTCTCCAGGATGAACAGCCCCAGTGTTCTGAGCCTTAGTCCCTCCCACAGCCCTTCCTAAAGCAAGGTTTAAACCACAGGCAAACCCTGAGCCACCCAAATCCCACTCTTCTCAAGTCCAAAGTCATCTGGGTGGGTGAGGCAGGAAACAACCATGCTTCAGTGCCTGCACCTCTTAACTGAGCCCCCTCTTTGCTGTGGAAGTCACTGACCTTTCCTGACGGCTGCTGCCGGAGACACCCGAGGGTTGCTGGTCCCGCTGCCCGGCGCCACGCCGATGATGGGGAAGCGGATCTTAGGGGGAGACAGGAGGGAAGGAGGCCCCGTGGTGCTGGGGGAGTAGCTGAACAGAGAGGAGCTGTAGCTGGGCCGCCTGCCCTCCCGCCTGTTGCCATCGATTGCAGCCTGAAGCTCAGCAGGAGAGCTGAGGGATTTCTTCTCGCATTCGTAGGCATAGAGGTACTTCATGTACCTGGGGAGAGGGGAGCACAGGGCAACTCAGCAGGACATGCAATCATTCAGGAAGGCTTTCAGACCGAGGCCCTCCACAGCTCTGGAGTCTTTGTGTGCATATCATGACCGCTGCTGTGCTTGGTTTGATAAGGACTGAGCAGGGTGGGTGCGGAGCACAGCTCAAAGAAACCTTGAATTTACTCAAGGTCTGTAGGAAAGCACCTGCTTACAAACTGCTACCCCCACAAGGGCAGAAAAGAATCCTCCAGAATTCCCTTACAGCTGTGATACCATCTGAACTGACATGAATTAAGGCCTTGGACCAGAACTTTTAACACCCTAACCCTAACCCTGTTTGTACCAAAGGCTGCAGGAATGGCAACAGAGGCTCTAATAACTTCCAAGAAAACAGAGTTTGCACAAGAGCTGGGGTGTGCTCCCAAAGCCCAACCTTCCATGCTCAGGTCACTAAAGCACAGCTTCACCCTGCTGCTTTCACAATGGGTTTACTTTCGTTCTTCTTCCTCTTCTTATCCTACTTCTTTTTGCCTCCTCAATGTGAAGTACTACAGGTCAGAAAGCAATCCCCACAGTAAGCAGGTGCTACATCCAACTTTCCACATGGCAGCAGTGAAAACAGACATGAAATGATCAAGTTCATACTTGATGCCTACAGCTCGGGAGGCCTCTCCCTTCCCTCCTTGCTGGGTCAGTGCTCTCTTCAGAGACACAGCCCCAAGGAGATTAAGCTCAGATGAGGCAGGGAAGGCACAGGGTAGAATTTAACCTTTAACATCTCCACCCCAGTCCCTGCTCTGCCCTCCCCAGTCCCCACTGGGTGTTCACATCCGTGCTGTTGGCCCTACAGGACTCACTGGGTTCGAAGCGTGAAGGCGGCGCTGGTGATGGAGGTGGGCAAATTAAGGCCTTTGGTGATCTCTCGCCAGATCTTCTTGTTGATGATTTCCACCAGCCCTCCTTTCTCAGTCACCAGCTTATAGAGCATGTAGAGATCCAGGATCTGCTTTGCCATGATGGGGATCCGATTGATGGGAGTTCCTGCAGGGAAACAGTGGGAAGGAAGCATGGAGTCAAGAGAGAAAAATGAGGCCAAGAAAAGCAGCAGGTTGGAGCTATCGATCCTCTTCCTAATAGGAAATGGAGGCAACTCTATTTGTAGCCTGACTTGAGGCCTCTTGATGGGCGAGTAAATGAGGCAGAGAAGTGTAGCTACATGGCACGTCCTTTCCATGACAAATCCTTTCCTGCAGGCAAAAGCAATTATCGGACAAATAATAACCTGCAGCTAAGAGCAACTTCTGAAATAGAAAGAGGGGAAGTGGGGACTATTCAATCCTGGGGGTTTGAATAGGGAGGGAGCAGCACAGAGGAATCGTGTTTTATGAGCTCCCAGGGCAATCTCAGATACAAATCTGCGTTGCTCATGCTCAGGAAGGGGCTGAGCAGCTACTTGTGAGCTGGGATTCAACTCCCTCGCTTCCCAGGGTTTGCTATCCCGTCTCCAGATGGGTACCATGGCATAACCCCGGAGCTCTGCAACCCAACTGCTGCTGGAGCAGCGATGCCTTGTGAGGAAGCTAGAGCAATCATGGGGATGGTGGAGGTGAGCAAATGAGCAGGGTAAGGGAGCATCACACATGGGTGGATGCAGGGAGAAGCACCAGGCATCCAGGTGCTTTTCAGAGTCCAGAACAAGGTCCTACTCTATCCTTGTGAGGACAAAGAGGGCAGAGAGGGAGATGACAAAACTGAACCACAAGGATAAAGTTATCTTGTGGGTTAAGAGAGGTAAGACAATGTGATTTTTAAGCTGATAGGGCCTTTTTAGCAGCACCTTCAAGTGCTAAAGGTGCAGGGTTTGAAAAGGCCAAACTAATGAGATTGAGGCAAGGAGAGGAAGAGGGAGGAAAACTGCTGATGTAGCAAACCTTTTCTTCTGCATAGGAAACGCTGTCCTGGATCAAAGAGCCATCCATCTGAGGCCAGTATCCTGCCTACCACAATGCTCAGCACCAGCCTTCACAGGAAGGCCTGGGAAGTGCCGTAATGGACAATTATGGAATCCCCAACCCACAGGGGAGGCTTCTGCCACCGCTCAGCAGCCAGCGACTCGGTTAATGCCCCGAAGCAGAGCAGTTTATGGCCCTTATAAATGGGGTTTATTCTGTTGAGTGAAAAGGAGCTCAGCTCGGCCCTGCAGATGTCCTCATTATACATGGAAGTGTAATTTTTCCCCCCTTCTCCTTTCTTTTTGAAGCCTGTTATGCATTAGCTCATGGTACCAATTCCCACCAGTTAACGGGATGCTGGGTAGGAAAAGGAAACTTTTCCAGCTTTAAAAGGGCCGCCTTCAATTGTACCAAGTTACTAACTCTTCAGCTGTAAGAACACATCAAGAACAACCTGATGGGGCTCGGTCTGCCAGCTGTCAGTTTAGATCTTTCTTATCCTCTTCTCCTTGCCTGGTCTAAACAACCCTTTCCTCATCCAAAAGGAAAGCCCACAGAGCAGTAATTCCAGACCCTCTTCCTGCATTTCAGAGACAGCTCCCTCCAGGAACTCAGATGTTGGAACTGGATGAGCTTTAAGGTCCTTTCCAACCCACACCATTCAAACTCCCTGCAGCTCCCGCATTCCAGGACCCAGTTCTTCCCAAAAGGAATAACCCCAGCCACCATTTTGTCTCGGTGTGTTACTGCAGGGCTCCGGAGCACACTCAGCATCATTCCAGCCACGCGGAGGGCTGGGAGTGCTCATGTTACCAGCCTGGAGTTATCATTCATCAGCTGAGCCCAGGAACCAGAGTCACACCTGCAAGTGAAGAGCAGGGACATGCTTCTCTCCCAGGTCTCCAGGAAGGACCAGGGGTGGGGTTTCCCACCTGAAAATGCCCCTTCCTTGATGGCTCAGCATTCCCACCCCAGCAGCACGGAGAGCCAGGCTGTCCCAAGCAGCACCTTGCTTCACTGATGCAGGATCAAGACCCTCTCTCCCCGACCCCTCCAGCAACCCCGTGCTGCTCAAAGCCACCCGCTTCTCCCCAATCCAATTTAGGGAAGAGCATTAACTTGCCCAGAAGGGACTTTCATCCAGCTCTCCTTGGACGGTGACCAGATGGAGAGTGAAAGGGAAGGGTCACGGATAAGGCTCCTCAGGCAAAAAAGCTGCTAATGCAGGACTAGAAGGAAATAATCTGCTTTGTAATACCCTGCATTTCTCCTAAATGCAGCTGGACCCTTCTCTACATTCTCCCATCTCAGCAGCCGAAAAGGTACACGAGGATACTTCTCCAAACGCTCCTGTGAAAGGCACAAACATCATCTACACCAGTGGGAAATAAAGGCTGAAATGGGTTTCTGCTCCTAGCTGGAATAGAACAGCAATCAGCTCTGCCCTCCCCACCTCACGTTACTACCCCTTTGACACCTTCCCTTCCTGAAGCTTGCTTTTAAACAAGCCCCACAGACCAAAGTGCCCTGAAATGTCATTAATAGCTTTATAAACTGAACTGAAACCTAGAGCTCCCCCCCTCCCCAAGGCCATAAAATTCCTTTATGCAGCCTGAGAAACTTTACAACAGGGAGCAAACTACTTCCATCCCTCTACCACCGGAGCAAGGAGCTGGGATCATTTTCCTCCTGTGTTTTCTTACAGTACCACACCAAGTAATATCCCCCCGAGCTGCGGTTTGGAGCTTGTACTTTTCGAAGCAAGGTGGAAATGGGCATGTTCCCTAGGATCCGAGTGCTAAAGAGTGGAGGAGCACAGGAAAGCTGCTCCCAATCCCTTCTCCACCCCCAATGCCTGGCTGAGGAAAGGCAAAGCGATAAAGTCTTTATTGGAAACCCCCAGTGCTCCAACAGGAAAGGCTGAAAAACGAGTATCATGGGAGGATTGGATGCTGAAGCCGAGCGGATCCTTTCACAGGCGGCTGCAAGGCTTGTCAGGGGCCATGATGGATTACTGTCATCTGGCAGCATCAGGATTAATGATGTGGAGGTCAGAGGGGAGAATTCCAGAGGGAAAGGTCAGCAGCTGGGGGCACAGCGTAAGACTTGTTGCCTTTTGATGGCAAACTCATTTTACTGTACTTCCAAGGCTCTCTATTCCGCCGGCTCTCAAATGCTGTACTTACTGTGCCTGCAAAGAGCTAAAGCCTAGCTCAGGAAGAGGGCGAGGAAGATGACTGCCTCCTCTCCTACTTTTCCTACTCTCTTTCTTTAGTACAACCCCAGCTACATAAGCACAAGCCATTCCTATAAGGAATCAGCCAAGGTGGGGGGTCACAAGGAATCTGTTTCCACTGGAAAAAGGGATGATTCGTAGTTGAGGAGCACGGGAGACCTGAGGAAGACAAACTCTAGGGCAGGGAAACGCTGGAAGGAGAAGGAAGAAGCACCCCATTGCCCATGGTTTTCCAAAGGGAAAGACAGCTCTAACGACAATAGCAGATTCTGGACTAAGTTTTCCTGGAGGAAGCCTGACTGTAGCTATAAACATCTCTATCCTTCCAGGGAATAAGCAGCCCTCTCTGCCAGGCTGTTTCACCCCACTCAAGAGCCTCTTGTTTCAGGCAGATGTTAACAGAAGGCTTCTAGGGACAGGCTTCAATGTCCCCTGTATCCCCAGTGCTGGAGAGGAGCAACTGTTGGATTTCCTTCCTTCAAGAGCTATTTAAGAAGGGCCTGAGGAAGCTGTAAGCCCAGCTAATCTCTAAGGACTGCTTCTACACCTCTTGGCAATGAACCAGGGGCACTGGCTGAGCCATCACCCAGGTTCTGCTCCCCAGCCACTGGCTCAGGGCTGGGGCTCAGCTTTCCATTGCTTGAAAGGGAACTAAGCTTTGGACCAAGGTCCTCCTCACTCACCCACGCATGCTGCCAAAGTTGGGTTTTCTTCCTCCTCTTCACCCAATCTAAGCCAGACTTCAGAGTGAGGTCTAAATCTGAAGGTGTAAACTGCTGTTACACAACAAAAAACTGCTCCTGTGAGACTGTTCTTAGCCAAATTATAGAGGTGATTGATGAAAATGCAAGTCCCCTGCAAGGGCCACTCTGTGCTCTGCTCCCCTCGTGCTGAGCCATGCCCACTGCAGGGAGTTCCCCACATCAAGCAGCCTAAGCCATGACTTGCCCTGCACTCAAGAGACAAAGAGCAGTTAATTATACCCAGCCTGGAGCAGTACTTTTCCAACAGCCCCCCCCCCATCCAATTTACTTTCAGAAGTGGCCATTTTTTAGTAAGGAACAAAGGAATGTGAGAATTCCAGACATTTATTCTGCAGAGCCACATTCACATTGCAATAAAGCATGCAGCCGAGTGAAAAACAGGCACAGAGGGGGCATTCTGAAGCCACAACCTGTCCAGGTAAGGAAAGAGCTGCTCTTCCCACCTTTCACTCTGAGGATGTTCAGAAGAGAAGCAGCATCAACCAGCCAAAAGGAACAACTTTTCCCCAGGAGCCTGGCGAAGGCCACAGTGATTGAAAATGCATTTTGAAGCAACTCTTGAAGAGATCTTCATGTTTCTTTGACAGGAGACAGTGTAATTACCTGGTAGGAAGGCTCTCCCCACTCTCCCAGCCCTGACAGAGGTAAAATACAGTTCAAATGCAAGCAAATCAACTTGAACCCTGCACTATCTCAGTTCCTGGTGTGCCTGAATTCCTCTCCAAGGACAAACCCTGGCTGGCTTCATGCAGAGCCGCCTGCTCAGCCACCCCAGCGTTAGCTGTTGGGTTGACTGGATGGCAAAGTAAAAAGCAAAGCCTCCAGAAGGGGAAACCAGCTTTTTCCTATCCTCCTTGTGGTGCCACAGCTGATGGAATCTCTCCCTACGCATGGCACTTCCCCAGCAGGCATCCTCACCTCCCAACAGGAATGTCACCACCTGATCCGCAAGCCTGCAGACCATTAGACACTCCTATCAAAGCGGGAGCCGGGCTAGAGGGTAATTAATCATGCTCTATTTGACAGGAGGCCCACTTATCTGCACCCCTTGAAACGCCATCAGTTGCTGCTTCCCTCCTCGATAAATGA